GAAGCAATGAAAAAAAAGCTAGGGTACCAATATTTATATCCAACAAAATGGACTTTAAAACAAAGGCTATAATAAGAGACAAAGAAGGGCACTACATAATGCAAAAGAGATCAATCTGACAAGAGGAATCTAACCCTTGTAAACATTTATGCACCCAACATAGGAGCACCTAAATATATAAAGCAAATATTGACAGACATTAAGGGAGAGATCAACAGCAATACAGCCTTAGTAGGCAACTTTAACACCCCATTGACAACAATGGATAGATCTTCCAGACAGGAAATCAACAAGGAAATAGAGGTCTTAAATGGTACATTTGGCCAGATGGACTTAATTTATATTTTTAGAGCATTTCACCTCCAAAGCAGCTGAATATACATTCTTTTCAAGTGCACATGGAACATGTTTCCAGCATAGACCACATGTTAAGCCACAAAGCAAGTCTCAATACATTTTATTTTAAAATTGCTAAGATTGTAGCAATAAATTTAAAAGGATTGAAACCATGTGCATCATCTTCTCTGACCACAATGGTATGAAACCAGAAATCAATTGCAAGAGAAAAAAAACTGAACAAAACAGAAACACTAAAGAAGCTAAAATGCATGCTACTAAACAATGAATGGGTTAACAATGAGATCAAGGAAGAACTCAAAAGTTGCCTTGAGACATATTAAAATGAAAACACAATGATTCCAAATCTATGGGACACAGAGAAGGCAATTCTAAGAGGGAAATTCATTCTAATGCAGGTTAACATCAAGAAACAAGAAAAATCTCAAATAAACAATCTAACCTTACACCTAAAGGAACTAGAAAAATATAAAAAACAAAACCTGTAAGGAGTAGGACACAAATAATAAAGATCAGAGCAGAAATAGATAAAATAGCATCTAAAAAATAAAATACAAAAGACCAATTAAACCAAAGTCTGGTCCTTTGAAAAGGTAAACAAAATTGACAAACATTAAGCTGGACTTATCAAGAAAAAAGGGAGAGAACCCAAATAAATAAAATTAGAAATGAAAGAGAAGTGACAACTGACACCACAGAAATACAAAGCATTCTAAGAAAATGCTGTGAACAATTATATGCCAATAAATTGGACAATCTGGAAGAAATGGATAAATTCTTAGAAACACACAATCTTTTGAGACTGAATCAAGAAGGAACAGAAAATCTTAACAGACTAATTACTGCTAATGAATTTGAAACAGTAATCAAAAGAATCACATAAAAGTCCTGGACTGGATGGTTTCACAGGTGAATTTTTACCATACATCCAAAGAAGAATTAACACCTATTCTTCTCAAATTATTCCAAAAAATTCAAGAGGAGGAAGGGCTCCCAAGTTCAGTTTGCAAGGTCACCATTACATTGATTCCAAAACCAGACAAAGACATTACAAAAAAATAATAATTACAGGCCAATATCCCTGATGAACATAGATGGAACAATCCTCAACAAAATATTAGCAAATTTATTTCAGTAATCCATTAAAAATTTAATATACCATGATCAAGTGGGATTTATTCCTGGGATGCAAGGTTGGTTCAATATCCACAAATCAATTATTGTAACACACCAAATAAATAAAATGAAAGATAAAAATCACTTGATGATATCAATAGATGCAGGAAAAGTGACAAAAATCAGCATCCATTTATGATAAAAACTCTCAACAAAGTGTGAATAGGGGGAACATACCACAACATCATAAAGGCCATCTATGACAAACCTACAGCTAACATCATCATCAATGGGGAAAAGATAAAAGCACTTTCCTTAATCTCAAGAACAAAACAAGGATGTCCACCTTTACCACTTTTATTCAACATAGTATTGGAAGTCCTTGCCACAGCAGTCAGACAAGAAAAATAAATAAAATGCCACCAGATTGGACAGATAGAAGTAAAACTGTCATTATTTGCAGATGACTTGATACTATATATAGAGAGCCCTAAATAGTACACCAAAAATTATTAAAACTGATAAATAAATTCAGTAAAGTAGCAGGATACAAAATCAATATTCAGAAGTTGGTTGTATTTTTATACACAACAATAAACTATCATAAAGAGAAATTAAGAAAACAATCCCATTTACAATTGCATTAAAAAACCTAAAAATAAATTTAACAAAGGATGTAAAAGACCTTACTTGGAAAATTATAAGACATTGAAGAAAGAAATTGAAGAAGATACAAGTAAATGGAAGCATATACTGTGCTCATGGATAAGAAGAATTAAATCATTTAAATGCCCATAATACACAAAGCAATCTATGGATTCAGTGCAATCCCTATCAAAATACCAATGGTATTTTTCACAGAAGTAGAATAATCCTAAAATTTATATGGAAGCACAAAAGACCCACAATAGCCACCACAATCTTGAGAATGAAGAACAGATCTGGCGATATCATGCTACCTGATATCAAACTATACTACAAGGCTATAGTAATCACACCAACATGGTACTGGCATAAAGGCAGACATATAGATCAATGGAACAGAATAGAGAGCCCAGAAATAAAGCCACACTTATACAGTCAATTAATCTATGACAAAGGAGGCAATAATATACAATGGGGTAAAGACAGTCTATTCTATAAATGGTATTGGGAAAACTGAACTGATACATGCAAAAAAATTAAACTACACCACCTTCTTACACCATATACAAGAATAAACTCAAAATGGATTAAAGACTTACAGTAAATGTAGGGCCCAAACCATAAAACTCCTAGAAGAAAACATAGGCAGTAAATTCTCTGACATTGCTCTTAATAATATTTTTTTGACATATCTCCTCAGGCAAGGGAAACAAAAGAAAAACTAACAATTGTCACCTCAATAAACTTTGGTTAAAAAAAAGAAATGAAAAAATAAACAAATGGGACTACATTAAACTATTTTTTTTTTTGCACAGCAATGGAAACCATCCGTAAAATGAAAAAACAACCTACCAATTGGGAGAAGATATTCGCCAATGATACATCTGATAAGGGGTTAATAACCAAAACTTATAAAGAACTCATACAACTCAACACCAAACAAAACAAACAATCCAGTTAAAAATCCAGAAGACATTTCTCCAAAGAGGACATACAAATGGCCAATAGACATATGAAAACATGCTCAACATCACTAATCATCAGAGAAATGCAATTTAAAACCACAATGAGATATCACCTCACCCCTGTCAGGATGGCCATCATCAATAAATCAACAAACAACAAGTGTTGGTGAAGATGTGGAGAAAAGGGAATCCTCATGCACTGTTGGCGGGATTGCAGATTGTTGCAGCCACTATGGAAAACAGTGTGGAGTTTCCTCAAAAAAATAAAAAATGGAACTACCATATGACCCAGCAATTCCACTTCTGGGTATCTATCTGATGAAATCTAAAACACTAATTTGAAAAGATATATGCACCCCTATGTTCACTGCAGTGTTATTTACAATAGCCAGGATATAGAAACAACCTAAGTGCCCATCAATAACGATTAAAGAAGTAGTACATACATATCTATATACAATGGAATATTACTTGGCCATAAAAAGACTGAAATCTTACCGTTTGTGACAACATAGTTGGACCTGGAGGGTATTAAGCTAAGTGAAATAAGTCAGACAGAGACAGAAAAATACCCTATAATTTCATATATAAGTGGAATCGAAAGAACAAAATAAATGAACAAAAAACCCATCAAACTAGCATCAGTCTTCTAACATAATTGGTGACAGCTCACTTTCCTTATTTAGAGCTATCCTTAGAGGATAGTGATTTTCAGGTGGTTCTGAGGATAATTCCCTAAAAGCAGTTAGTTTCCAAAATGTTCGGAGCAATGGCAGCCTTGTTGGAATACATGTTTTTCCTTCGGAGGAGATCTCCTGCAATGTGACAAGACTCATTTGGACATTTCACTGCTAGGCTGTTTATTTAAACCTCTGCCTGCAATCTTTATGCACATAGTTTGTGTTGCTCCCAAGATAATGTTGTAAGAAATAGCCAGACCTTGATTAACCAGTCAGTCTTCATTGACACCTCAACTAGAACTTACATTTGGCTTTAGGAAGAAGGAAGGAAAATTTAAAGAAACTGTGTGGAGACCTGGGCTTTATTTCATAATGGAAAAGCAAACATAAACAACAAAATGACAGAAAACTCACTGAAAGCAACAAACGAACAAGGCAAATGGACAATAAAAAACTCATAGGCACAGGCAACAGTTTAGTGGTTACCAGAGGGTAAGGAGGGAGGGGAGGAAGAAGAAGGTAAAGGGGGTCAATAGATGGAGATCTGACTCTTGGTGGTGAATACACAGTGCAATCTATAGATAATATATTATATTATGGAAATGTACACGTGAAATCTATATGATGTAACTAACCAATGTCACCCCAATAAATTTGATAAAGATAAAAAAGAAATAAAAAACCACTTTCTGAACCCAAACAAACAAGCAAACAAACAAAACGAACAAAAAAGATTCCAAAGGGTGTCCAGGAGCTAGCATACATTCAACCATGAGAGGGAATCAGACATAATGGAAAGAACATGAAATCTGAGTGCAAATCTGACTTGAATTTACTAGCTCTGAGCCTCTGAGTAAGTAGATTTACCTTTCTGACTCTCGGTTTCCTCTTCATTAAAATGAATGTAATGATAGCTATCTCGTGAGATAGTTGTGGAATTCAATGAGAAAGTGTTTTGTGTTTGGTTTTTTTTTTTACTTCTTGTGAATTGTATCTGGCAAATACAAGGTACCTAGTAAATGCCACTTTTCCATTTATCAACTTTATCTACTCCAGCCCTACTGTCCCCAGTCCTGAATTTTTCTTTCTTCATTATTGCACAAGCCAGGACTGCCCTCCCCACCCCGGCCCCTCACCAGACATTGATGTCTCTTTTTTGGAATAAGGACACTCTACTGAGGTATCTCTGGAACAAGGTTGTCTACTGAGGTGCTCACCGGGAGACAGGGTTGCTCACCTTTCACCAGAAACTTCACAATGTTGCTGCGCTGTTCAGAGCCTACCCGGCCCTTGGCAATACAAAAATAGTAGCCTGAGTCAGCCACCACTGCAGGCTTGAAGAGTAAGGTACTCAAGGTTGCTACTTTGGTTGGTTCTTTGTTGTTAGTCTGTTCCTTGTACCAAACATAACTGATGGGGGGAGAACCCCGAGCCTGGCACTGAAGGCTAATCCTCATTCCCTGGGGCACTGTGAAGCCATAGCTACTGCCAGTCGTCACAGTGGGCTTGGAAACAGAGACTGCAAAGGGAAGACAAGAGAGGAGACTTTGGGAAGTTACAAGGATATGGGAACACAAGGCTAAGTCATCCCTTCTGGGTATAGGGGTATGTGTATATCTGCAAGGGAATTTGCAGTAGCCCCTGACATGGGAGAGAAGAAGGGAACAGGATAATGTAAATAAAAATGGCTTCTTTTGGAAGATTATGTACTGTTTTGTATTATCTAGAGTTTTGGACTATCTGGAGTTAAAAATCAATGCCAGTGAAGCAACGTCCTCCATAACTAGACTGAAGAACAAAAGGACAGCAACTTGTCTGTTCCTCTCCCCCAATTCCCCAATAAAATCCTTTTTAAAAAATCAACTGACTTTTAAAAAACTATATAGTGTTTTTTTAAGCTCAGGTAGAGTTTTTGGATTATCTGCAATTTTTGGCTTACAAGGGCCAGATATTTGTAAAATTGTCAAGCCAACAAAACTTATATTGGCTACATCAAGCATCCTTTTCCCCAGGGCTTCTCTGTCAGGAGAGACAAATCCACTCTCCAATGTCCTCATGAGCTATACTCATTTTTATGAGTTTTATGACCCAGATTCCAAGGAGGGCAACAAGGTTATGGATGCTGGAATTTCTAGGACACTTGAAGGGATAGAGATTTGAGGACAGGAATCCTTTCCCAACAGTTTTAAAATTATGCCATGAGAGTGATGACCTTGAGGGTCATCTGTCTGTCCATTTCCTCTGATTAACACATATAACTGAAGGGAAACTATGTACAGATTAACAAACATCTATGGGTTTCTCAAGGTTTTCTCGGATTATAGTCCTCTATTAGGTCTTTGCCTATCAGTGTTTTCCTACCCCCACAGTGACTCACCTTTCTGGACACGGAGATCAATGATCTTATCTCTCACTACTTGGTTGCCATTGGGTGTCTGCCAAGTGACTTCACAAGTGTAGTGGCTCTTGTCATCCATCTCCAGGGTATTCAGATGGAGGGACACATCCCCTTGGACCTCATGGTTCACGTGCAGGCGGCCCCGGTACTTTGCTTGCTGAGTATGGTCTCCAGAGGAGTCACGTAAGAAGATGGTGACTGGATCTGAGCCACGTTGTACCAGCCACTTTACCAAGACTTGGGTGTAACCTTGCAGAGGACTGTAGGTGCAGGGAATATTAACATCCCCTTTCCAAGTCCCTGTCACACTCTCAGGTGCTTCCAGGATGGGATGGCCTGAAGATGGGGAACAGAGGAAGAATGCAGACATGGATGGCACAACACCTGTGAGCTAGAGTGGCAGTGGCAGGCCTCAAGAGGCTTCTGAGAAACACCCTTCAGCTTTCCTTCCATCACACTTTCAGATTCCCTGTGCCCTTTTGTTCTCTGCCAGGTTTCTCATCAACTAGAACCACTCCCCAGAAGGAGAGCCCTTAACATTGTTTAGTTCTTGTGAGTTTCAAGTTTTTCTTTCACTTTCTTGCTGTGAGGTAACCCTGGGTAAGTTGCTTTCTGCCACAAAGGACCCATTTTCTTCATTTATAATGTAGAGAGTTTGGATTAAATGATCTCTAAATTTTCTGCAGACTCTGACATTCTGTTAAGCCCATGAAAAGAAAACTTCTTTCATTTTCTGAAAGAAGTTTGAGAGCAAATGCTGAACAATTGGGTCTGGGCTATTTTAGTGTATATAATTGTGTACCTGAAGAAATGTGGGGACTGCAAGGTCAGAAAGAAAGAGTCATCTACCCTGCTTATCCCTCATTGCTCCCTAGGAAGGGCTCAGTGATTGGGTACCTAACCTTAACCTCTTCTCTGGAGGGGAGGAAGGAGGCAGGCAAAGGGCAATTCTGAGGGTGGAAACTTCTGTGAGATGCATTCCTGTTTAACAAAATGATTATTTATTGTTAAGTTTGAAACCTGCATTTTGTAGGCCTGACGTTTTTGTTTGATTTTTCTCCTTTCTTTATTTCCCTTTTGGTTTCTCTCAGTTCTCAGCAAAAGTACATTTGAAAATCCTATCCTGAGGGGAAATGGAGAGGAAAAGTTCTGGAGAGGAAAAAGGTCGAAGTAAAATCCTAGATCTGGCTGTGGTGGGAACGGTGGTGGAACATAAAAAGGAGAATTTTTGTGTGTGTGCTGGGCAGGGAATCCCAGAGGGTAAAAGTTGGGGGTGTTGAAAGAGCCATAACCTCCCATCAGAAATTCCCATCCATAAACTCATATTTTGAGAATTTTGTGTTTTATTTAGCTGGGGCCAGGAGTGAGGGATTGTATTTAGCCAATGTCTTTATGTTTCTTCTAGGAGAGTTAGTTTCACAGTGTGAGCTATTACTGAATAAAAAGCCTTTTACATAGCCCAGGATTCCCAGGCTTCACTCAAACAGATGGAAGATGGGTGGCTGCATGCTTTTTAGCTCCCAGAATGTATTGCCAACTACCAGGGCTTCTATCAGTGGGGAGGCTAATGTCAAGCCTCTGCCATGTGCCTTCATCAGGGACTCTTAGGACATCACTAGAATATTTTGGCCAGGATAAAAGCCTCAAGTAGAAAATAATGCATAAATATGAGTCCATGTTGCTAGATCCACCACATTCTCTGGAGCGTTTAAGATTGGTCAGGAAACAGAACTCAGACTCATGAATGGGAGCACAATAGGGGCAGATTTTGGTTTACCTTGAAAATAAACTTTATAATGAATCAGAGCTGTCTATTTATTGACCTGGTTATCTAGGGGAAGTTCTGAGCTTTGTTTAGGTCTTGGACAAAATACTCTTCAAGGTCCCTTCCAATCCTAGATGGTTCAGTGTTAAAGTGTAATGGAAACAAAAGTTAAATGATTACGTGTTCTAGTTGGTGGTGAACTTTCACCGGGTGGTGGGTTTCACTGTGCTATTGATAGTTCATGCCTCCATATGCATACAGATACATCTTATCATCATCACAGACATACATACCCATACATATTTTTGGTCACTTGCAAGCACAAACATACCACCAGCTTTAAGCCCCATAAAGACCTTCTGAGCCTTTCAGTTTAATGTGCTCTTCCCCACTAATCTTCCACCCCTCTTAAGTCTCCCTCTCCTTGTCTGAAAAGCATTCTCGCATTCCCCTCCTGGGCAACAAAGCAGCATTTTGCTGTGAGGACACATGGAACAGCTGAAGATGCCTTTGTCTATATCTACACGTGTCTTCCCTCTGACTTTGGGGGAGCTGGAAGGCCTGGCTCACATTACCCTCTCTGGGAACTTGCTGGGGATTCTCACATTGCCTTCTCTGGTCTGTCAAGAACACAGACAGCCAGTGTCAATTTCTGAATCCTGAAAGAAAGTCACTTTGAGAAGTAGGTCAGGCATGACTCTTCCATCCCAGAATAGGGGCATGGGACAGAGTTAGTAAGCAAACTTCCAAGAATGGCATGTTTTTTCCCCTTTTACTTTTTTTCTTCCTCTCTCCTCTCTTCCACCCATTCTTTCATTTCTCCTCTTCCTCCTCCTTCTTCATTAACACCATATAAAGAGAGTGTATGGCAGGCTCAGGGAGTCACAATGAAGGGGATATTGTAATATTCCTCATGTACTATGATCTTCAAAGTGAAGGCAACCTCAACAGCACTGACTTATACCTTCCAACTATTTCTGTGGCTCTTAGGTAACCTAAAGAAACATTGAGTAGGAGCTCCTAGTGAGATCAGGAGGGTAGTGAAGGACTTCATGATGTAGTAAGAATAATAAAACCGATCTAAGTCCAAGGTCTGCCCTACCATATATCTCTCTGTGTGACTTTGGGTAAATTGCTAAACCTGTCTGAGCTTTAGGTCATTATCAATAAAATGGAGGTAATAATAAACCTTACATGGAGAGTTATTGTGCAGATAAAACAAGCTCATAGGTATGAAAGCACCTAGCATAGTGACTGGCATTCAGTAGGTGCTGGATAAATGTCAGTCCTGTCCCATGCCTCAGAAGAAATTTCTAATATTTGTCTTGATTCTTCTTATCGTATAGAAGTCCTCAATATGTCTTCCCCAGGATGAACATATTCATTATATTTGATCATTGTCAGCTTTAATAATGACCCAAAGGAGAAATTAGCCCATGAGCAGGTAAGGAGTTACCCTTCCCAGCCTGATGGAATCTACCGAGTTACAGGCAGGTAATAAGCCATCCCTGGGTTTTATGGTAGCCAGAGAAGACACAGTAGCCTGTACCTCCAACCACAGGGCTGGCATGACAGCCAATGTGAAATATTGACCAAATTAAGCAATATTTTTTACTTTCCTGGAAGATGGGTAGGGAAACTCCATTTCAGGAAAACCCTGCCTCCTGGGGGGATGCTCTGCCCATAATGGATCCATGAAAACCACTAAATTGCTAGTGACTTGGTATAGCAGGGCTCGCGGTACCAGATAGGATAGAATTTGGAGACTTCTTGAATGGCATAGCTGAGAGTGCTTTTTGAAACCACTTAGTGGCATTTTCTCATGGTACAAATGGGCAAGCTGAGGCTTAGAGAAAGAAATATGCTTATCCAAAGTCACAGAGGTAACAGGGGCAGAGCTGGGCCTGGAGGTCTAGAATAAAGACCTTCAGATGTTACACTGCCTTTTTATGCTCTTAACTTATTAAACTATCAGCCACAACTGAAGCCAGGAACCCCTTACCTGGTTCTATCTGACATGGCTTAAAGGGATGTTATCCTAGGGCTGGATAATACCCCTCTGATTGCCTGAAAAAGAATTCCCCTATCTGCTGGCTGCTTTCTAAAAAGCCTTTCCTACAACTTCAGAGCCTTGCTCTCTTACCTCAGGAAAGGATTGAATTTCTTTCAAATATTGTTCCCCCTCAGGAGAAAGACCAGGGCTGGGCATTGAATCAAGGGGCTTTGTTTAAAAAGGGTTGAACTTGAGAAAGAGCAAATAATACTGGGACCTGGTCCTGGGACCTTGACTTAGAAAAGTAAAGGTCTGGGGCCTGTGTGATGGTCCTAAGGAAAGGGAAGGCCTAGTTTTCTGGGTGTGGGCCCCTTTATAGAAGCCAACCTGGGTTCCTTTTTGAATCTTGTTCCTTCCACCATTACACAGAGGGTGAGATCTGCCCAAGACCCCATGCCCCTGTGTCTGACCTCTTTTCCTCTCTTGGGCTTCCTCTTAGGTAGAGGATTAACTTAGATAATAGATACTTATAAAATGCTTATAAAATGCAAATGTTAGGACTTATTTTTATTATGATTATTTCAACATGTGTCTTAGACTTAACAGCTGATTTTGGCCCCTAGAGGCTTTTTAGAAGTGAAGCCACAGTTCTACAAAGCTGTCCACCTAGCAGGGCCCTTTGAGGTCAACCAAGCTGATCTCTTCACTGTATAGATGGGTTAGGGACATTGAGATCCAGGGAGAAGTAAGGCGTTGTTGGCCATTCAGCATGTCCTGAGCCTCAGGTCTATAGTGTAAGACTCTCCACATAAATGGAAGCCCTGCTTCCAGGCCTAGAGGACCTCTTAGGCTGGGGAGGGAATGACACACATGTGAGAGCCCACATGGATGCCCATATATGATTTAAATTTAACATTTACAAAATGTTTCTGTGAGCCCCAACTCTGCCTCTATGAGCAAGCTCAAAACAACAAATTTGGAGAAGGTAGGGAGATACATTCTAAAACGTGCTAGAAAATGAAAATACAGTAATTATAGAAATAACACTATTTTTAAAAGAGTATTAATTCTGCCACTAATGCACTGTGGTCTGGAGCAAATTATTTTCCCTCTTTGGTGACTTAATTTAGTATCTCTTTGAACTTGAGGTTCTAGAATTTGATGGATCAGAGCCCCAGGATAGGATAGCCTATACTGAGTCAGTTATGGAAAGTTGGATGCTTTCTGATCATACAAGGGACAACAAGCTAACACCATGCAGCCTCTCCCTCTAAAGATATGGAACAAGCAGGGGTGCAGCAAGAACCCCTTTGACTTATCTTGGGTATCACTTAGCTATTACTCAAGTTTAGTTTCTTAAAATGTTATCTCGATTTTCAGGCATATATAGATAAAGCTGGAGGAAGACACAAGGAAATAATGCTACTATGTGATAGTCAGACCTCTTTTGGGATATGTGTCTAACATTAAGCTCCCACAATTAGCCCAGAAAAACTGGAACATGTCCACAGGGAAGTGAGTTACCCCAGAAGGTGGTAAGAAACCAAGTCCTGTGAAGACCAGTTGAAGGAGCTGGGGCTATTTAGCTTGGAGAAGAGATGAGTCAAGGGGATATAATGTCTGTTCTTAGAACTGTAAAGGGCTGTCACAGCATAGAGGGAGCAGACATGATATGTGTGTCTCCAAGAAGCAAAACTGGGACCTTTGGATAGAAGCTACAGGGAAGTGGATTGAGTTCAACACAAGGACGAATTTTTAACAGTTAAAAATATCTCTGGATAGACTAGATGGTCTGGGGCAGTGGTAAATTATCAGTCACTAGAAGTATGTGAACAAATATTCTGAGCAGTTGTTCATAACAGTGAAGGGTGGATCTAGGTTACTTTTAAGGTCCCATCTAACTCTTCAACAAGATTCCTTCTTTGGGGAATATGTTTCTTAACAGGGATCAAAGCCTGGAAGCAGAGGGTTTAAGGTGTAATAGAATTTCAGGTGAAAATCAGAAGATGGAGGAGGGATTTGGGTGGCATTGGGCACCTTCTTAATGTGCCTGAAATAAGAAGAGTACTATAAAATCATGTGGATATTTTCCAAGAGATGATCCTTTTCAATTTCTACCCAAACTTACCTCCTGGATTCTTCAGCAGCCTTCAACTACCTCCCTCTCTTCTGCCCAAAGATGAGTCTGCAGCGTTGGCTGAGAAACTCACCTGCTCAGCAGAAATAGGCTTAGCTCAGTAGGTATTCAATCCCAGTCCCCCACCCATTTGCCTGTGCCAGTAATGGCATCCAGGCCCTACTTTGCTGCCTTACCATAGGCGACCACTGTTAGGTGGCCCAGGAGCAGCAGGCCCAGTAAGAGCCCCATCACAGCCAGAACCACTTCTGTCCTTTCTTCCAACCTCTTGCTGTCAAAGAGGCTTGAACTCCTGATGGCTGCCAGCGTCTGTGCCTGCTCACTTCCCCTCCTTCCCTATATCTCTCACTCAGACTCCTAGTCCCACCTCACATTTCCCTTCCTTCCCTATTTCAGTACAAGTCACATGAGCATCTCCCTCCCTCCCCTGCCCAGAGTTGGAGGTTTGAGGGTGAGTGAAACAATTCCTCCCCTGCTAGGGTATTGACTTGATTTTCCCTGGAGCCAATAGGGCTCTATTGTCTTTGATCTCCCAGGCAGTGTTTATTTTGGGTTTCCTTCATAAGACTCAGAGGTTGGTGGGGGCGAATTTTGGGATGAGTCTGCTCCCTCCAGTGTGGGGTATTTTCCTTTCTGGTGGGCCCAGGGAGAAGAGATCAACTTTGCTGGCCTACGCAATATTCAGCAATCATACTGTTAACCCTTACCTGCTCAGCTTATGAAAATGAATAAAGTGTTGGGGGTGAGTGCCTGTGGGCTTCAGAGTACAAGAGATTAAGTGTATGAAAGGGTTTTCTACACATCAATGCTTAAATAATTGGCAAGTCCATTGATAAGGCCATTATGGGGGAATATACCCCCATATCTCATATTGGAAAAGCTCTTTGAATCACTTTCTCCTGTAGATCTACCACTTTGGTGGGAAGGGTTCCCATTAGTCCTCATAAGGAATATTTTATTTATTTTTAAGGGAAAGTTAAGTCTAGCATCCAGTGTACTTTCCCATTGACCTGATAGTGATATGCTCTATTAGGCTGAACTTGTCAATGACTTCAATTGGTACAGACCCCTAACCTGCAGGAGAGTGACATTAAGCCTCCTAGGAAGTTTAATTGCTTTTCTTCACAGGCACCAGAGTGACTGTAAGTCTACCAGCAGTCTACCTCTAGGTTTGGCACTGCCCACAGCCTACTAAACTTTGAAAATATAAACACTTCCAAAAGGAGAAATGCATCCAAAAAATTCACACTGACTCATAAGTACCATCTAATCTTAACTTTCTTTTTGATTAGAGGGATAAGAGAGACCTTGGGGAAGGAATGAGATTCACAGACAGGGAGAGTGAGATTCCAAAAAGAGACATTTTCTCCTCCATATGCTTGCCAAAGAGTGGTTACATACAGATGATCTGGGGATGTGCAAAGGCTAAGAGGAAGCTGTAGCATTTTCAGCCTTGCTGTCAAACCCCTCTGCCTCACAAATTCAACCCCCCTTGTCTAGTTGTCCCTTGCTTTTTGGTTACTGCATTTAGTCCACCTCACTGGAACTTCTAGCCATTCTTTCACATTGGTTCTTCATTCAGAGAACCCTGAAATTTGGAGAGCCCTCTTTTTGTATTTTCAAACCAACATCCTACCACCACTATCACCATACATCTACACATACACATACCCATACACCCTCTAACACATACCTTCCCCTATACATGATGAAGATCTGGAAGCCCATGCCTCAGTAGACTGGTGTCGATTTCTCTCTGCTCTGGTGACTGTATTTTTTGAGCTGCCTCTTGCCTCTTGATAGAACCTCCTGGATCTGAAGATAAATAAATGTCCTGGGGAACGTGTACAGCATTTCTTTGGTGAAGACTTCCAGTCCTGTAGTGTGCTCAGTAGCCCTGTTGAACAAGAAGAACATTGAAAGGGAAGTCAGGAAGCCCAGAGTCTCTGGTTCAAGACTTCAGGCAAGTTAAGTCTTTCTGAATCTCAGCTTTCCCAGTTTTAACATGAGCACTGTTAGACTTGGTATTTATATCTTTTCAGGTCTTTTAAAATCAAACTACACTATACATACAATAACAACTATAGTAATGACAGCTACCATTTTTAAATCTCTTCCAGGCAGTGTACTAAGCACTTTGTGTAAATTATTTCATTTGATACTTATAAACCCTCAGGTGGGTATTATTGTACTTACTATTTTGTCTCTCCTGTCATTTTTTACTCCTTTTCTCTGATTTGTTTTATTTGTAGAATTCACCACTACTTGGCATAGTGTACATTTACCGATTTACTTCTTTGTTGTTTGTCTCCCACTCTTGAATGTAAGCCCCACGAAAGCAGGAAATTTTGCATTTCATGTTCATTGCTATATCCCTCATGCCTAAAACAATGCTTGGCATATAACAGACATCAATAATTTTTTGTAATGAATACATTGAATAAAACACCATTTTACAAATGAAGCTGAGGTCCAGAATAGTGAAATAACTTACCTGTATAGAAACTGCCTAGACAAGATCCAATCCCATATCTGTGTGTTTCCAAAAATGATACTGATAAGCACCACACAATTCTGCTTCTTTCCTCTCTTTAATGATCACTTATAGAGCTCTTTTAGGCCTTCTCTGGATGTTGTAAAGGAAATAGAAGAAATATTAGACATGATCCCTGGCTTAGTGATAATTTAGTATATATAAAGTCAAGATGCACACATATGGATACACCAATGGGCACACACACACACACACACACACACACACACACTGATACAAGGAGGATTATTGAGCTTTAAACCTGTGGTTAAGACAACATCTAGTGAGTAGTGTGAAAAGACTTCCCAGGGGAAGTGAAACGTAAGTTACCATTATAAAACTCCTGCTCTGGGCTGGACATATTATCTCTAGGCTTTACCTTGCATGGAAGATTTTTTTTAAAGATTTTTATTGGGGAATTCGGGGGATGGGAACAGTGCTGGGGAATTGGAGGAAGGGGAACAGACAAGTTGCTGTCGTTTTGTTCTTCAGTCTAGTTGTGGAGGACGTTGCTTCACTCGCCCAAGTTGGCACCATCATTGTGCTCTTCCTGGACGAGGCACATCAGTCGTGGGCTGCTGGCCGCTCACGCTGGCTGCTGGCTACACACGGTAGCCCATGGCAACCCACTGCCACAGGGGCTGCAGCCTACGCTGTCCTCGGCAACTCACAGCAGCCCAGTTCCAGGTTGAGCTGTTGTTCAGCATCTTAGCTGTGGCAGGCAGTGTCACTGGCCCTCATATGTGGGATCAGAACCGGGGCCCTTTGGCGTCCCAAGCCAGTTCTTAACCATCGCGCCACTCGGCCGGCCCACATGGAAGATATTATTAACTACCCCTCCCCCTCTTTTTTTTTGGTTGAGGAAAACTGAGGTCGAGAGACACCAAGGGACATACTCACAGTCACATAGCTAGTAAGTGTCAGAAGGGAGGTTTTCAATTCAAGTTGATCTGTTTCTAGAGCCTATGCTTTTCTTCTGCATTTCCTAGGGCTATACATGAACTGAGCCAAGAAAGATGAGGTGGTGGAAGAGGAGAGGAAATGGAGATGCATAGTTGCTTTAATCCAGGGTATTCATATTTTCTTTATCTTCAAACCGAATGCTTTCTGGCCTGATGGTGGTTAAGAGCTCACATACCGTGGGTGAACAGCAGAGAAAACAACTCATATCTTTTGAGGTCCAGTATCCAGAAGTCGCTGTGACTCTGTGTCTACTTCCATTTCCATAGCTCACCTTCCTAGGAAAAGGTTGAAAGGGCATATTGGAGCAATTCAGTAGTGTGCAAACATTAGTGGAGACCCTCCTGTATGCCTGTGCATCTTGTGCTTGACTGAGCTGGAAGACAGCAATGATGCAAAGAGGAAATCCACACAGGTCCTATTTGAGAACTTTTGAGAATATGCATACACACAAACCCACAAACACCACATATAAACATAGATGCACAGATACATATGGACACATATAAATATACATGTAGATATGCATGTATGTATAAAATGGCCACAGGCATGAATATTAGCACATTGATGCACAACACACAAAATATGCATGCAGAGATATATAGCACACAACACACATGCAAAACATTCACAGAGACACACAGATGTACAGACATGCACATGCACATAGACACACAAAAACAAACATTGAAACACAGATCCATACGCTCAAGTAGAACATAAGCAGACAATGCATGCATATAAGCATGTAAACACTCATGTAAACACAAAGATAGATACATATAAACATTAACCCAAAGATACATAAAAGATAGGCAGCTGTGTTTAAAAGCAAAATAAAAATAGCAGGCCTCACATACTAAGGGATATGGGAACGACAGAAGCTCATTTATACAATGGGAGTACAGAGGTGGTAAAAAAAAAAACCATAGACTTCAGTGGTCTAAGAAGGTTTCCCAGAGGAGCTACAGTGTGGGCTGGGACATGAGACCTAGTTAGCACTGGATAGGCAAAGAGGATGGGAAAGAAGTTCCAGGAGAGAGAGAGAGAGAAAAGAGAAGAGAAGAGGAGAGGAGAGGAGAGGAGAGGAGAAGGGGGAAGGAGAAGGAGGAAGAGGAGGGGGAGGAGGAGGAGAAAAGAAGGAGGGGTGGGAAAGAAGAGAACAGGAAAGGAAATGCCAAAGCCCAGAGGCAGCAAGGGCAAAAATAATTCTGGTGTAGAGGGAGAAAATCAATTATACTTTCACTTGGTATATATGTAGAAAGGTAGGGAGTGGAAAAGCTTGGGCAGATTGTGGAGAGTCTTGAAGATCATGCCGGGATTTCTAGACTTGACCTTATAAACTTCCATGGTAGCCATAGAAGGTTTTAGAGTGGAGCTGGAACATGCTAATGGTGAAAGTATTTTAGAGCTAAATTTGTTGGCAGCATACTAGTGGAATAAGGTGGGAAAACTGGAGGCAGGGGAATGGGAAACTAATTAGGCTATTAGCAGTATAATGCAATGGAAAAAAACAACATTGGAATAGGAGACGGGTTCATCCCCTTCTCTGGACCTCAGTGTTACCATCTGTACCCTAAAGATGTCATATTCACCCACAGATTTTTAAGCTATGATCTGGGGATGCTTTGGGGGGAAACTGGGAGGGAGCTATATTTGCAGATGGAATTTAGGGGGTAATGGGGAGAAGGAGGAGTAGGTGACTGTTTCAACCAATGGGGTGCTGGAGCCATCTTGAATCCCAAGAGCTGATTGTGCACATTCCTTCCCAAATCCATGTTTAGTAACATCAATGTTGGTAGCTTGAAATTAGCAAATGCCGTAAGCCAGGG